TTCAGACGGGGTCAAACGTCCAAGGCGCCCAATACACATCGATATCCCATCGAGCCGGTAACCCCTACCATAACCACGACGTTGTGTGCGTGTGTGGTTACGCCTCCTCTTGGTTGGTTTGGAACAGGGTTTGTGTCCAACTCTCTTAGATGAACTACCAGTGGTCCACCAATCCGGTTATAGCCCCAGATGTTGGTTTTTCATTCTCTCTTTTTTATGGGAAACACCGCCACAAGAAGGCAATGAGTAGGATTTCCTTAGCAGAGTTGTCTATTCGAGACGCTTAGTCATAGAGGAGCATATCGCGAGGTGCACGACGAAGGTGACCAGTCACAACCCTAGAAATCCACCGAGGACCATAGTGAGGAGGTTTGTAGACTTTCTGTTTGCTCCCCGTCACGCATTTTATCAAGAGACCACCATTAATCGTTATCGGTGGTGTCACTGCTTGTGTCTGGGTGTGTGGATGTGTTTGTTTGGATGTAGGACCCCAGCGATCCAGAATGAACATGTGTAACGTTCATTTACGTTTGCTACTCCCTTTTGATTTTAAAACTGTTTCGACTGATCCGTTTTCCGATTGAGCGTAACTCGTGTGGTCCAAAATTTACCGAGAGCCGCAGTTTAGTGGACCCTGAGATGGTTATGTAATACGTTACACCAAATCCGGTGTGTTTGCCCTGCTAACAATATCATGTGGGTAATGGAGGATTTGGTTGGATTTTAAATGGCAATTCGTCGTGTATATAGTAAATGAAGCGTAAACTGATAGCTCGGAAGCACTGGACAGCTGTTTCGACCTGGTTGGGTCTCATCAGCAGTGCGAATCCATCGACACGACTGGGGATCGAACCCGGGACTTCATGGGCAGAACGCAAGCGTGCTACCCACTACGCCACCGGGCAGCTGATCAGACCGTTTTTCATTTTCCATTTACACGATATAGCACAATCCATAGCAGAGATCAAACCGGTGAATAGCGCCGGTGAGATGATTTCGCTGATTCACTTTTTAGGTGCCAGGCCGAAGAAACTGATACCGCATGTTGAACGTTCGTTCAGTGTTAAAGGTAAACGTAGCGTAGCTACCACTGAAAGTGGGTGTGCATCAATGAACAAATCGATGAATTGACGAGAAGAAAGAAACACAACACACAGTCACAAACGAAGACCACTTTGAAACAGGAATAGGGTATTAGAAATGTAAAAACAAAACATCAAATCTGTACTGCTCTTCTGCTTGGGTGCAGGTTTTATTGCGTGTCAAATATAATATTCTATCCGGTGCTCTGCGGACGGGCCACTTTTCCGTAGCTTGGTCACGCGTCATACGCTTGACATTTGGGAACACAGTACTTCTTGAAGGTGCGTCATCATCAAAGGCAGCCCGCAAACGATCAACACTCTCCGGCTGCTGTTGCTTTAAATCACAGTTGTAGTCGTGGAAGATAGTCACCCACATCCGATGACACTGACTGAGTTCCATCTTTACTACAGTCCGAGTATTGCGACCCTCGTATGACTTGTGAGCTGTGCTTGGCTGTGTTGATATTTGGTTCTTCGTGAGTTGCAATCACTGAGTAGTATTCACAACAGTAGATTACAGTTCACGTTCTTTTGCCCTGGAATATCTTGGTGGTGGGGGCGCAGCGGTTTAGTTGCTGTCATAGGCGTGCTTTGGAACCTATGGTCCGAGGTTCGACCCCGCCACCGCCACCCAACTTTGGTCGTAGGCAGTTTTGCTCTCGTCCGGTCCAATCCTACACCTAACTTATCTGGGCCTCATGTGGTACGCCACTCCAAGTTTCGGGGCTTCGGGTTACCGGTTTCCATCACTGAACAGCAGGTCCTCGTGACTATGTGGCTTCCCCCGTGCATTTCGCGAGGTGCACGACGAAGGCGACTAGCCACAACCCTAGACACCCACCCACGACTTCACTGAGGCTTTGGATAGGCATAATGAGGAGCGGGTTCACAAAATCATAAATCAATGACGAAGTAACTGAATCAAATCGTTTTTTGTTTCGTCTGATAATGGTGACTATGCATCTGAATGCTTTTCGTGTTATACATTGTATCTGGAGTGCCTGGCTGGTTTCTGTTAGAAACGCAGCATAAGTTCTCTGTTTCGTAATTCTTCATCCAGCTACCGTAATTTCAGAGATCACTTTGACCTTCCTATTTAAAATCCAAAGTTGATCCTAATTAGCCTTTCTCAAACACTTCAGGTGAAATGCAGACATTTGATTTGCTTTATCTGTGCATTAGTGCACAAAGCTGGTGAAAAAGACCAACAATACACTCAGTTCAGTACGAGCAAACTCGTCACGTCCGAATGCGATCGATCCATTAGCATATACGAGCTCCTCGTTGACATGTAACGAAATCAGTCGATTGGGCTTATCGCTCGGGGTTCGCAGGACTATGGACCAGNGATGAAGAACAAGCCAGTGATGCGCGTTGACAGTGTTTAGATTAACGGAAGGCAAGCGCACGATAGGACTCACCGGATATGGTGCCATATCCGAGGTCGTATGAGATCTCGTGATAGTGCAGTATAACAGACCGACCCCAGTTCTGAGTTCACTCGAAATACACTGGCAGGTTGAGTCCGGGCAACGCAGCCCGAGTTCTTATATAACTATAGAGTAGGTTCTCCGTAGAGGAGGTATCCAAACAAATTGCTAGACAGGGAAAATACAAAAAGCAACCATGAACCAAAGGTGGTCCAGTGAGTGATAGGTGCACACAACGTACACACTCAATGCAAAATGGCTGAGCCCGTGCCTTCACGACAATAGAGGGCAATAAAACAAGACAGGGCATTTAAATTGAAACAGAGAGTTGATGGAGTGTAAAATGCAAAATATTAGTACCGCGGAAAGCGTCTTTGATCTCCGGTCACTTCTACTGTTTCTTTTAGGCCAGCCGGAGGAGACGTGAAATGCGACAGAAAGATCGTGACTATCGGGTAAGTTGTAAATTCCGTTGTCATTTTTTGATTTGAACGTTTTTTTGCATGTCCATTCTATTGCATATATATCTGATAATAAGTAGTATGTGAATGACTGGACAAAATTCCCCTGGAAGCACATGACCGGTTTCGCCGTTCTTGCCGTTCGTCAGGCATGCGTATCCGGTAATCTTTTGTGAGTAAATTCATATACTTGTACCCAGGAAGTATATATATGTAACACGGGCATGCGGACAAGCGTGATCTCAACGCCACAACAATATATACCAGTAACAGGGGACTTCAACAGGCAAATCGTACACCATACGCGCCACTGACTTCTGTTCTAGACCATATCTCTTAGCGTCTCTAACCAACGACAATCCTCATCCATTGGGCCCTAACCTAGAAGACGGGCTGCACCGACCAAAACCAAAGCTGACCCCAGCTTCTTCATACCTCTATACCATATCATGGTCTGACCGCCGCGGCACTTCTTCTAGCCTTGCCCGGCACGTGCGAAGAGAGCATAGAAAGGTAGCGGAAGAGCAGGTATACGCAGTTCGTGACCAAGCCATCGGAAGCGGTGTAGAGCGATTACTTTTGTTAGAGAGCAATTATCCACACCCAACACACGATGACTGATCCTGTCATTGCTCACCCCATGTTCCCACCAGACCTCGGGGGTCGAATACAGAAAGTCGATTATCATCTTCAGCGCGGACAGATACAGATCGTTTCGAAAATAGTTTCAACTATGCAAATGAATAAAATAAAACTGGTTCACAACAAAGAACAGCACCGGATTAAACAATACGCACGCACACACACATCTGAGTGGTCTTGACAACAAAAGCAGGATCGACCCCGGTTTTTCTGTTTGTTTGTTCGGGCACATGGTTCGTTTACGCGCTGCTCACGGTGACAGTATTTCATAGCGCCGGATATTGGCTAAAATCGCACAGATCCGTTCCGTTCCGTGTAACGTTTTTCCCCTCCCAGTTCCCGTGTTGTAAACCGAGATGACGGTGATGAAAACGTGTATCCTTTAGGACCAAAACGGCAGACCGCTAGCACAGAACTTACAGCGTTTCATGTCTATTTGGGGGAGATCGTGAATACTCACACAGAACAAAAACAACTCCAGTTTCTCTATATCTCATCCGGTGCATACTACAGTCTATATAACATTCACGATCCCGATAAATTGATAGAAATTACGTTAATAAGTTCATGAATGTCACGGTTTCTACCTAGACAACACCAAGGTAACGAATAACTCTTTTTGTTTGCACACAATAGGCTTTC